GGGGGTGTGGGTGTGGGTGTCCATCCAAACGAGTAGGAGGCGATCTCGATCATTCATATGACAGCTATGGCAATGGAGCACCAAAAAGACACAGACAGACACCCTAGAACTCAACGACGGACGGGCGATCGATTCGACCGAGTCACGTGTGTTTGTGGGCGAAAGAATGAACGAGTGAATGGCTGGTGGGTGGATGGACCGACCGATCTGTGTGTGGCATTGTGGAAGGGCGGGCGTGCAGACAGAGAGGGAAGGCAGCCACTGCATCAGACAGGGGAGACACCCCTATCCCCTCCTCTCCTCTCTTGCACACAGCACCAGCCCGCACTTGAGCTCAAATGGCGAAAAATACAGCCGCACCAGTGACATCACCAACACACAGACAGACAGCACCACAGCAGCAGCAGCAGCATCACTGTACAAGACACGAACCGTACACACAGACCTCTATGTGTCCAACAGACAGCGAGTGACAGAGCGACAAGGTGTACACAGCAGGGCCATCATGGCGGCAGCCACACCCCTTCTCGCCACACGACACCATCAGCGTGCAGCTATGCGGCCCAAATAGCTACTGCCGTGTGTGTGTGATGGGTCAGCAGTCGTGTGTGTGTCCATTCATTCCCTCGCCCGCCCCTCTGTGCGCATCTCTGTCACCGCCCGGCAACCCTAAAGCACCAACACCCTTCATGGGCTGACGCTCTGAGGTAGCCGGACGAAGCTGGAGATGCCCACACAGAGGGAGAGGGGAGGACACACATAGGAAAAGCCAGAACTCTCTCTCTCTCTCTCCCTCTCCCTCTCAGGCAGATCAGTGTGTGTGTGTGTCGGTCTGTCTGTCTGTCAGCCGGCCGTGTGTGACGGATGCACCGACGAGAGATCAACACACTCTCGCGAGAAACCGTTCCACACGACTGCTTGACAGACAGACGGCCACCGCCACCCCACACAGCGATTCCTTTGTGCAGCCAGCCAGCCAATCCTCCCTCTCTGTCTGTCTGTCTGTCTGTCATCTCTCCCCCGCCCCCCACTCACCAGCCGACACACTCACGGCAGCTGACGGCTGATGAGTGGCTGTTGGAGGCGTCATGACAATGGCAGCCAGACCGACCGACACACAAAGCCCCACAACACAACACAGTGAGATCGACGCACATACGACCAAAAGGCGACACAGTGAGAGATTCAGTTCAGTTCAGTCAGCCCGTCCGTCGGCTCATCGGCCGATCTCTCTCCCTTCAGCACACATCATCGCCGTCAGCCACCTGCATCCGTTCAGATGACACACGCCACACAGAGAGAGGAGACATCTGTGCGTGTGAGTCCTGCCTGTCCCGCTGTGTGCCCATCTGTCTGTGCGTACCAGTTGGTGGAGTGCCCTCACTCCTCTGTCACACCGCTGCACCTCACACACCACACGACGT